CTCTCTCTGTGTCTCTGTCCCCATCTCCCTCTTTCTCTGGGTTCCCCATCTCTCTCTCTCTCTGTGTCTCTGTACCCATCTCCCTCTTTCTCTGGGTTCCCCATCTCTCTCTCTCTCTCTGTGTCTCTGTCCCCATCTCCCTCTTTCTCTGGGTTCCCCATCTCTCTCTCTCTCTGTGTCTGTGTCTCTGTCCCCATCTCCCTCTCTGGCTCCTCGTCTCCCTCCTCTGTGGGTCCCCATCTCCCTCCCTTTCTCTGTGGGACCTCCCCTTCTGTCTAGGCCTGTGTCCCTTACTTTCTCAGAACTTTCTCAGCAGCTCATGCCCATCGCAGAGCCATTTCTATTGACCCCCTTCTCTGAGCAGTCAACCCGTCTCCTGTCAGTCCCTCTGTCTTCTTATATTCTGTGTGTGGGCAGTATGGTCCAGGGGGCCAACACTAGGGTCTCTGGAGGGGGCAGAGGGAAGGCTGTGAGGTTCAGGGGCGAGGCTGTCTGGGGCGGGGCCTCTTGGCCCAGATTAGACCAGTGACTTTGACACGGAAACGTTGACGAATCTTAAGCCCCTGGTCTCCTTTATATGGAAACATTAAGCTGCTCTCGCAGGTCAGGTGGAGGATGGGGGGGGGTCAGGTTCTTTGTCCCATGTGGGGGAAGGGGTGCCCTGAGCCCCAGCCGGTGAGCTGGCCACACAGGGTGTACAAATGCCCCCCTGCAATCGCTAGAGAAGGCACCACCACTCCACTACCCAGCCCTGTGGCCGGCAGGACGTGGCCCACTCTGGGCCTGTTGTCCAGCCTGGGAAATGGGGCCTTGATCCCCCACATACTGGACTGTCAGGTGAGCAGGGAGGCCAGGACGGGAAGGGCGTGGGGTCCTGAGGACCCGAAGAGTTTAGCATGTATGTAGCTGCTGCTTGGGGAGCAGGAGAGATTGGAGGGATGGGCAGGGATCCTGGGCTGCCACTTGAGGCTGGAATGTAACTCCACACAGTGTCCATCTGAGGGGATGTGGGAGGGCCACCTGGGATGCGGTGGACTGCGCTGGTCAGGGACTCCACTCTGTCCATGCGACTCCCCTCCAGCCCGAGTGTCTCCTAAGGGGGATGACTTTGGAGGAGAGTTGACTGCAAATCTGACAAACTGCTGGCATTCTCCCCTCATGGCCGTCCCTCCAGTGGCCTACCCCAGCGTCCCCTCGTGGGTGAATGACCTCTAACCCAGGGAGTCGCCCAGAGTTAGAAATGAGGCCTTGCACCAGGAGGGCCGCACACAGCCAGGCCTGGTCCACTCTGACCACAGTCTCATGTTTGTATGAAATGGACCTACTAACACCCCACATGGTAGGGCTGGCCCAGTGGACAGAGCCAGCTGCTGTGAGTGGCCGGGCCTGACTCCGTGGGGACCCCCAGAGCCTGACGGGGGTGTTTGGTAGACACTAGCTGGATGCAGTGCTGATAGAGTCAAGAGCTGAGTGGCCGCACTCAGTGGCTTATCTGCGGGAAATAGCACCCCTGGTAGAAGGTGTTAATTTGCAGAATGGTCACTCAAGGCTGGCCAGAGACAGGACTGATGGTTAATACAAACCAGGGACACAGTCCACACCTGCCATACCTTAGGGATACAGCCCACCCCTCTGCCCTGCTAGGTGTCTCCGTGGGTGGGGATCTCACTACCCAGATGTGCCTGCAGGGCAGGCCTGGAGAGCTGCCTGGTGGCCTTCTGAAAAGGGGTTGCCCTGAAGACCCTGGTGTACCACCCACCCACCCACAGCACCAGGGGTTAACCCCATAGCTGCTGGAGCGAACCTATGAAGTTCAGTCTCGGCCCTGCCCTCCTGCATTCTGCCCATTTCCCAGGGCTGGAGACTGAGGCTTGGGAAGGCTTGTGACCTCAAGCAAGCCATGAAGCCAGGACAGGACTCCTTCAGCCCAGAGCTCCTCCAGGACCCTTGCCCTTTCAAGGGGAGAAACTGCATGACCATTCCACAGATGAGCAAACTGAGGTCCTGGAAAGGGAGGCCAGTGGTCCGTTACTAAGTCAGGACCGGGCTGTGGCTCTGTAGAACTGGAAGGCCCTTCCTGAGCTTTAAAAAAAAATTTTATCCCTGAGTTATGTCCAATTTCCTCATCTTGCAAACAAATGCAGCATCTTGGGTCAGAAAGGCCTGGCCCAGGCTAGGAGGTCAGGGCTGAATCCTTTCATGTCTATGAGGCAGCTTCTTGAAATATCTTTGACATAGAGTATAATTCACACATTGATATATAAAATGAAATGGGTTTTGTACATGCACCAGAGTCTTGCAGCCATTGCCACAATTTTAAAACGTTTTCGTTTACTTCTCAAAAAAAAATCCCCCCTGTATCCTTTAGCTTCCACCTCCCCCTTCCCTCACGGTCCCCCTGCCCTGGCCATTGTCCATTCCAACCCCGAGTCCCCATGCAGGAACTCTGCTGGGAGGGGAACTGCCCATGGTGTCTTCACAGCTACCAATCTTCCTGGAAGCAGAAGGGCCTATCTTTCCCCTCCCTGCAGGTTGGTGGGGCAGCTGATGGCCTTATCCACTGTGCCACCAGGGCTCCTCCTCCTAGGACCTAGAAAAACCACAAATCTACATTCTCAAACTACAAATGTGCCTATTCTGGAGATTTTGCAGAAATGAAATAATATGTGGGTTATTTCTTGCATTGTCAAGGTTCATTCATGGCATCGCATGTACCAAATACTCCCTTTTTACTGCTAAGTAGTATTCCACTGCGTGGACTGTGGCTCTCAGGTGCCACGAAGTCGGACCTGATGCAAAGCAGAAGGGTCCCGTGCCACCTTCACCCTCGTGGCCGTGTTTGGACCAAAAGTTGTTAATGACTGACCATCCATCTCTTGAGGGTCCTGGTATTTTAAACTTGACCCTCTGTAGAAGAAAGGATAATGCAATTTGGTCTCACGTATTTTGAGCATGTTGTCAAGAGGGACCAGTCCTTGGGGGTGGGGGGGGGACGACGTCATGATGGGAGAGGTGGAAGGTCAGAGGGAGAGAGAGAAAGATCCCTCAAGATGGGCTCAAGCATGGCAGAGGCGGTGAAGATAAGGCGCGGCTCAGGACTGATGAGTCACCCTTCACTC